TTCACTCTGTTTTCACTTCTTAATGATCCTTCCGCACAAAGCGTGCTAGATCAGTCTGGCTCCAGCAGTCGAACAGTACAGACCTTTCTAAATACATTGTTACGCTGTCAGTCGAATAAAAGAGGCTTTCAGTTTAGTTGTGGTGTTTTCTTTGGAAGATTGAAGATGAGTGATCTCCATGATAATAACATTAGTGACGTCAGCTGTGCTGACGTCACACTTTTTAAAAACAACGAGGAGCTTTGTCCACCGTCATCAGAAGTGGGATATCAAGGGATCCCTACGCAAGCCACTTCCTCGTCAGCTCGTTTACCACCTGAGCAACAAGAACAAGCCAACAACCAGCATGAAGAGACTGTTTTTTTTTCAAATTCAACTGAATTATATCATGACAACTTAACTGCCCAAACTCACTCTCTGTTCCACCCAAGGTTAGCTGGTAGAGAATGCCATATAGCATTAAGTTTGCCTTTTGTACAAATATTTGGTGCAATAAAGAACAAATAAATAAATAAATCTAGATAGATAAATATAACGAAGAAGAGAATTTATTATTTTTTTATAAGAGAGGAGGCGAACGAGCATGCGGCTCACCTGATGGTAATTGATTACCGCTGCTCATGAACAGCTATAACACCAGGAGAATTGTATATGCGTTGCCGGCCTTTTAAAAAAGATTACGCTCTTTTCTTGAAGGGCCCTAAATTGTATCGGTCCTGAAAAATCGCTGGTGGTAATCGATTCCACAAGTAAGTTATGCGAGGAAGAAAACTTCTTCTAAATCCGACAGTGGTTGACCGCCAATCATCCAGATGGTGTGAAATCGAGCCGATCGGAAAGGACTGGGTCGTCGACAATTCGAGCCACTCTGCTCTTAATGTGGTCAAGTGGAAGGAGCTGGCACTGGGGAGACCCAGCCCAGAAATGGGAGCAGTATTCCATGTAAAGCCAAACCTGCGTCTTGTAAAGTTGCAGGAGGTGTGCCGGCATGAATTACTATCCCGCGCTGCTGAGCACGTCAAGGTTTTTAGATGCCACTTTGGCCTTCTCTTTCAAGTGACCACGAAACTGCACGTCACTCGATTTGTCGACGCCGAGGATTCTGATACTGGCTGAGGCAACAAGGGGAGTACCTTGATACTGATGAGATACGACAAAGGGGTTCATTTTAGCGGTAAACACGCAAAATTGTGTCTTCTGGGGATTAAACTGGACTAGATTTAATTGCCCTCAATTCAAGAATTTGTTCAGCAAAGACTTGACTTCAGACACAAGTTTGTTCCGGTACTCGGCAACGTTTTCCCGAGAAATATTGGCACGGCCGGTGTATAGACCATCACTAGTGCTGTCATTCATATAGCAATGAATGTTACCGGTTTGCTACATATCATTGATGTCCAAAAGAGACAGCGTTGGTGATAGCACGCAGCCTTGTGGAACACCAGCTTTCAATTCAGCAGAAATCAGAGCACGGACCGTCTACTACGACCTTGATGCTCCGATCAGCTAAAAAACTGGTGATCCAATTGCATAACTTTTCGAGAAGCCCATAGGAAGGAAGTGCTTTGTGCCAGACCTGATCGAAGGCCTTCGCTATGTTCGAGCTAACGGCCATTGCCTACCCTTTGGATTCGATCGCCTGCGCCTATCTATGTGTTAGGTGAACAAGAAGATCACCAGCTGAGCGACCCCGACGAAAACTGTACTGGCGGTCACTAATCAGCTGGTGCTCTTCAAGGTACCGCATGAGCTGACTCTATTATTATCGAGATCAAGGAGGTGATGGCGATAGGCCTGTAGTTGGATGGATCAGAGAGGTTACCTTTTTTGGGGATTGGGTGCACGAAAACTGTCCTCCATGAATTCGGGACAACGCCTAGTGAGCAGAAGTACTTGAAAACACGCCGAACCGGTTAGAACCGGTGTCAACTCTGGAGTGCACGTCCTCAACACGATTGGCGCGATTCCTTCTGGCTCACTCGACTTGTGCATGTCCAGGGAGAGGAGTCCTTTGCGTACTGAGCACTGTGTGAATCGCAAATCAGGCATAGAGCAGTATGAGCTGCGGGATGGTCGGCGGTGTGTTCTCCCCGTCATTGAGAATGGAGCTGGACGCAAAAAGGGAGCCTATCAAGGTCGCGTTTCTTTTTTGCGGCGTGGGCCATTGAGTCTTACTCCATGTGCAGAGATAGTAGTGATGGCTTACAGAAATTCCCTTGAACAGCCTTGGCGAGAGACCAGAATGCGCGGATTTCCAAAGGGAGGCGAATTAATTTCTTGCCAATTCTGCCAATGTACTCATACTTTGCTTTGGAAATACCTCTTTTGAAGGACCTGGAGGCGAAATTATACTTTTTTAAGCATGCTGGTGTTTACATCGCGAACCGCCGAAGCCTCAGCCCAGGCCTGATAACACTCCTGCTTACTGCGTAATGAAGTCTTATAGGAGCGACCAAACCAAGGCTGATTTTTTCATACTGCAATTGGCGATTGAACTGAGTAACATTTTAGAAGAACCCACTCGTGAAACCTCACTGCAATGTTCTATCGCCTCAGAAATACCAGCAGCTGAGTTGAGAAAGAGGCGTAATTGCTATCAAATTCATTATAAAACTGTCTGTCTAGTACTGCTATCGGCAATCGACTAGCCAAGCGATTAAAGCAAGAAATTTATTTTATGATTCTATCGTCACATAATATTTTCCTTCTATATATATATATATATATATATATATATATACTAACGTATCGAAAAAACATTTTTTAGAAACTACCAATATTTTTTTTATTTAAAAAAATTAAATCGCAAATTGTATGTGGTTTTATTACCTCTGCTTTGTCCAGGGAGTAAGAGGATTGTCAATCATCCCGCTTTACCGATGCTTGTGTTAGTTAGAGAAAAAAAAATATATATAGAATATATATATTTTTTAAATAAATTATTTTTTTAATTGATGAGGTTTCTGAAAAAATACTTCTATATGTTTGAATACTGATTCTGAAAACACACTTAAGGGGAACCACAGGTTTATTTTATTTTTATAGGAGAGGGGGCAAACGAGCATGCGGCTCACCTGATGGTAAGTGACTACCGCCGCCCATGAACAACCGCAACACCAGGGGAATTGCAGATGCGTTGCCGGCCTTTTAAAAAGGAAATGTTACATGTTATATATTCTGGTTTATTCGAACTTCGTTACCTCTTTTTTCATTATTTTTACTGCACTTCCTCCCATATGCTTATCACTACTTAGCCTTATGGTTGACTGGGAGCGATTTTATTTTTTGTGCATAAAAGTTTAAATAATTAAATAAATTCCTCCCAACTACGGGAAAAGTCCATATTTCATGCATTGGATTTTTACGGGCTGATAAAGAAGAATTAGTTGTAATAATAAATATAAACGTTTTCACTTGAAACTATAGTATCCTTGTTATTCTTCGTAGAGCCAAGCCGCAGGTATATTATGGTTATGTTATATTAAAGATAGGCCAAATAAGGAGGACCGTTAACCGGCGAACACTGTGTATGTTTAGATATGTGGATATTAACATATTATATCTAAACACACACACCGTTACCGTTACAGCCTATTACAGTTAACTGCTGACCATAGGCCTCCTCCATAGATTGCCTCATAAGGAAGATATTCGCCATAGTTGCCACTCTTGGCTAGCAACCGGGTTGACAACCGTAGTTTTTTATTTTTAGTCGTTACTAGGAAGACGCTGCTGCTTTCTCCTGCTATGTTTCCCCTTTGTCGACTCTTACGACACCCATGGGATGATATGGGATAGTGGATATTTTTACTTCGCCTACACATAACTAACATAGGTTTAATTAACATAGGTTCGTGCCAAATGGAAGTTGGTAGTCTCTGACTACCTCTCTGGATGACATGCGTGAGAGTATGCAATATTGAACTAGGCACAGAAAATAGAAACTTAATAAATTTAATGGATTTTACAAAGAATAACGTATAAGCTCTTTAAAATTGAATGCATCACACTTATCGTTGTAACAATGTATCCTGAAAATATTATGTGAGAAAATCCAAATTCTAATGTAAACACTTTACTTCGTTATTCTGTGAAGTTAATTAAATGCATTCGACAAACACAGTAATTAATTGAGATTGATAAGGATATAAAGCAATCAGATTAAACTGTCTAAGATGTCCTCAGTGTGACAAAGTCCGCGGTCTTGTCGCTTCGTAAAGTTGGAGAAGATTTCTGATTTCGCATTAATATTTAGTAGCACCGATGTCAAAGTTTCGATCCGTATTTTATGTTAATTATAAACATGATATGATTTAAGATCAAATCAATATTTATGAGATCGTTATCAGGTATGTTGTTACCAACTATTCCTAATTAGAGACTATTACTAGAGACTATTACTACTATTATTAGATAATCAACTATTCCATAACACTCCGTGGGTGTCGTAAAAGCCGACGGAAGTTAGCTGAAACAGAAGATTGCCCATCTTCACAACTTCCTGATTATAACTTCATAAATAAAAAATGCGGTTGCTAACGCACGCGCCAGGCGTGACTATGAGACTTCCATATAAGGTGATTATAGGCGAAGCCTATGTTGAGCAGTAGACTTATGATATGTTGTAACAAATGTATGAAATTATATTTCCGTGTGGTGGTGGTTTAACGGAACTGATGACTTTGAGATATGCCAGGAAGTACTTTAAATAATACGCTGCAACGTGGCTCTACCCTTTGCACTCTTAAAAACTGTATTGCTCCCCGTTGCTGATTTGTATATTTTACATTGGGTATGTGCGAGCTCAGGACCATGCTTTGTGGCGTTACTTTGGGGAGGCCCGTGTTCAGCAGTGGACTTATTACGGGATGTAATGATGATGATGATGTAAGAGTTGGTTATATCGCTATCGGACATTCGATAATTTTTAGGCATTTCCTATAGGATTTAACTACACAGGAACCCTTTCAATCAAGTATTTTTTGTAAAATAATTATAAGTACCTTGTATAATTTTTTTAATTATTTATTAATTTGAAATTTTAAAGTTAATTACATATCAAAGTTATAAACACAGATTTTCTTTTCAAAACACCACTCCGAAATGTATACAATAAGAGAAGATGACAATAATTTTAGTTTAAACTATTTTTTACACTGAATACTGAGTTTAAGTCACTTTATCCGTTTATATTTCATATTTTAAAAAAAATTAAATAAATGATACAATTTAATTTGTATTGTCTTGCTTTCAACGATTACAACTTTGTAAGAAAAACAGTTCAAAATTTAATTAAAGGTAAGTTTTTTTTTTACCAAAATCAAGACAAAAATTAGAAAAAATGAAATAATTGACAAGAAACCTAATTTCAAGCACAACGATGTAGCTACAAATAAATCAGAGCTATGGAACCTTATTAGGTTGATATTAAAATCCAAAACGAAATAATAAATCGAAAGATGTAACAAAAGTGGGATATGAAAAATTATATTTAATTGAATTTTTACTTCATAGAATATCAACAATTTTCTTAAAGTTATGGTAATTCACGCGACAATTAGAAAATAAATAGTTCAGTTTCAGCTAAAGCGGTCTTAAGCAACTAAAGCTTCTTTATCAATCTTTGGAGGATACACGAAAACGACGTTGTTCGGTTTTATTTCCGGCATAACTTGATTTTTGTTCTCTTCACGTTCCAATCGTACGGCGTAGATGTAATAAACGAATATGAAGTATGCTGCCAATCCTGGAAAATAATAATTTGAAGGTTGATAATTAATTAATATCACATTATATTTTTATATTAAAGAGATAATCGAATAGAAGCCAGTAAGTCTGTCGTTATTTGCGGGTCTTGGATTCTTCATGGATTTTTCTTGGAGCCTTTCAAAAGGCCGCAGCTAAGCATAGGTCTCCCCAAGGTGTGCCAAAAAGCATTTGTACTTAAATCAAATAGTTATTTTTGGGATGAAAAATCTATCATATCCATGTTAGTTAAGAGCATTTTTAGTTAAGAGCATTTTTTTTGGTTCCCTTTGTTTAAGGGGGTAAGGGACTGAATCTCCTTAATACAGGCTATTTTATAATCTAGCAAGGAGAACAGAACGTCACCCTCACTAGTATTTTTACCTAATTTTTATTATTTCATGTAAGACATTTTTTTCTGTATGTACTACACGTTTAAAGTTTTTAATAAAGTTATTAAATTTATTATTATAATGGTTGTAGTAAACGTTAAGTGTGGTCGAATCGACCAAAAAGTCATCAGTAGGTAACTGGTTGCTTATTTATTCTCAATATTTTTTCCACCCGGCTAGCAAGTGCATTGTTAAATTTTGAAAACAATGTATAACAGTCACCAACAACATTCTTTCATTTTATTATCATTATCAGCCTGTAAAAGTACACGGCTTAGTAAAAAAAATGATTTCTAAATATAAAAATGACTCTTTCTAATATGGAAATATCGAAAATTGCAATCGTGAAAAGCTTAATACTCGTTATCAAGTGATTAAACAATAAGCATTATAAAATAACTTCGTTTATAATATTAGAAACTGCTGTAAATGGATCTCTCGTAGGTCTTTCATTATTGTCATGTCTTTTGTGAGTTATATGATAGACTAGCTGTTCCCCGCGACTTCGCCCGCGTTCAATTTAGGGTTTTAATTTTTTTGCGCGGAACCCTAATACTTTTTCTAAAATAAAAGTAGCCTAAGTTACTCCTTATAACATCAACTATGTGCCAGTGAAAGTCCCGTCAAAAGTGGTCCAGCCACTTCGGAGAATAACCGGAACAAACAGAAAGACAGACAGACGGACAGACAGAAAGACAATTTTTTTTCAAAATTGTGTTTTTGTCATAAATACCGTATACACTTTCATATGAATTTAGTAAAAATCTGTTATTTTGATATTACAAACTGACACTTCAATTTTATTATTTGTATAGATGATTAGATTTAGGATGGATGACAAAATATAAAGAAGTTATTAATGTATTTCCTTTTGAAGTGTCATATTTATTTACTGTTGTACTATAATTATTGCACAATTCGTTGCTGAATGCTATCATTTAATTTATTATGAATAAACCACCATTTAAGTCCACAAAAGTCCACTGTTGAACAAAAGGCTTCTTCTACAAATTGCTTGGGACTTTATATGCGATTTATGAACATAAGACTGTTTATGTGTTCACCTCATTCCTTTAACAAAATTAAAATCAAACTAAGATATTGTTTACAATTTAATACGCAATGTTGTAATAATATTTTCCGACAGAATGCATGACAAAGACTGGAAAACAATGGATTGCACACAAAAGAAAGATGACGCTGTAATTGTTATGAGAACTAAAGTATTGTTAAATGAATGCTTCATTGATGGCGAAGGCATGTTTTACTATCCACGTGACTTCTTTAGATTTTTAATGACATAAGTACTTTAAAATAAAACGCATTGACCATGGACTGTAATGAACCTAGTGGAAATAATACGTCTGCAAAATGTCAGTTTATTCAGACGTCCGGAAGTGAATGAAAACTGAATTAAATAAGTCCACAATAATAATTATTATAAACATGTATGGTATGCGAAATTAACGGAAACAGATTGCTCTTCAAAATAATTACTTTATTTTTCTTCTATAAGGTAGAAAACAACTTTATTCACTTTAAATCTTGGCATGCCGTGTTAACACGTATAAGAATTATGTATTATGTCTTTTATCACATCATTATTATTATAAGTTATAGCTTTAAATCGTGATATAATCTGTTGTGTTGTCCAATAAATAAATAAAAAAATATATTACAATCCAACTTTACAAGTCTTCATCTTCACTCAAATCGCCATACGTCTCCTCTCTCCCTCTCTCATATATCTATCTAGATCTTTCACTTCTACGTTTAAATTAAAACTGACATTCCAATATACGCATTCATATATATTGTAAGTAAGAAAACATACAGGTCAAGGAAAAGGCTTAGTCATCGTGCTTGATAGGCGAATTGACGATCGCAGTAACGACCAGAGGTCTTGTACTTTTTGTCTCTGCTGCCTATTTAGTTATCTAATCTTGAACAGATTTCCATATTAACTTACATCTAACACATCAACATCTTATATCTACAAATGACTATGTACTATCAATTATAGGATAATACATCATTCTATAACAATAATTGTCTATAGAGATTAACTTACACAATGGTGACAATTTTAATGGTAGTTGGGACAAAAATAAGTTAAATGAACAAATAAGATATACTTATAATAATTTTTGTATCAAAAATAAAAGTTCGGTATTACAAAAATTTTGTCTCTAATAGTTGGTCGGTCTTTGTATTTTAAGTCTAACAGCAATATTGTTTAACATCTATCTATCGGAAGCTGTAAGATCCTTCTTGTTTATCCCATAGCTGTCTCTTACGACACTAATGAGACGAAGTGAGGTGATGGGTTCTCCTACGCTGTCATCACATGCTACGTGAATAAGATGGGTATGTCTTATTGTAAAGAGGCTTTGCCATAATGGCCAAACGTAGAAGCTAGATTATCGATGTCAGTATCAGAATTCATTTGATGGTGATACTATTGCTATTTATCGTAGGCCATGAATTATTATTGGCATTTTCTAAAGTTGCATTTGAATAAAAAAAACAAGATTATAAAGTGAATCGCGACGCTTTGGTAACTACTAAGTTTATTCTTATCTTTTGTTTTTTTTTTTTATAGGATCGGGTGACAAACGAGCACACAGTCCACCTGATGGTAAGTGGTTACTGTGACCCATAGACATCTACATCTATCCTCAATAAAGACTCAAGATGCAGATGCGTTGTCACCCGTGAGGACTAAGATGGAATGCCTCTTTGTCAGTAAAAAGGGTCTCCGGTTCTCTACACTCACCATATGAAACGCACAGCGTTAAGCTGCTATTTTACGCTTGTTTTCTGTGATAGCGTGGTCCTTCCCCGGTCGAGCCGACCCATTCGTGCTACAATTATAATATAGCTGCAGCATGGCTCTACCACGTAGAGTTGCAGCATGGCTCTACCACGTAGAATTTTGTTCCTTTCTTTTCTGCATGGTTACGTATTTAACATATTCCTCAATATGTGTAGAATAATAAGTTCGATGGATGCTTATAACTTTAATTTCACACTGTATAATCTTACTTTACTTTGCTTAAATTTACAAATTAACTTACCTAGATCAACACTGTAAGATATAATTGTTTGAGGGCTGGTATGACCCGGCATAATGATGTATACAAGGCCGAGAACCATAAGAATTAGGCGAGCAGTTGCAAAAGTTACGTACATCTTGATGGGGCCAGGCCGTTTCTGTAAGCAGAGAAAATTGAAAGTATGGATTAATTTAACATAATACACTTAGTAATTATATGAACGTTTATCAAAAGTTGAAATAATATTCTTTAAGATTGCTTAACTTTAAGTTTTATATGTCTTAGAAAAATTATTGCCAAAAAATCATATGGATATTTTGATGTCACCAAAAAGTGTATCATAAAATATATATAGAATAACTTCAATTACATGGCAAGTTTGTGTGAAAACGTTTTTCCATAAGGACAATTTATTTTCTTCTAAGAAGAAAAAGTCATACCTGTGTTCCTATATCTATCGCATAGTGTGTAGTATTTAATATTTCTAATCGTTATCATCATCATCATTAAGGGCCCGCTAAGAAATGTCACCTAACACGGTATTAAGCAACCTGCACCTATCGAATTCCCTCACGTCTTACCAGATCGTCACTCCATCTAATGAGGAACCGACATATAATATTCCCTTTAACAGATAGAGGCTGCTGCTGTTATATAAAAAAAAAGTCCCGCTGGGTTTCTTGCTGGTTCTTCCCAGAAAAGAGTTTTTTTTTTCGAACTAATGGTAATTAAACAAAAGAGTGACTTTTTTTATAGAATAAGGGTGACAAACGAGCACACAGTCCACCTGATGGTAAGTGGTTGCTGCGGCCCATAGACATCTACATCTATCCTCTATGTAATCAAAATGTAGATGCGTTGTCACCCGTGAGGACTAAGATGGAATGCCTCATTTCCAGTAAAAAGGGCCTCCGGCCACCTGCACTTACCAAGCGAAATGCAGAGGTAAATCTCTACTTGACGCTGGTTTTCTGTGAGGTCGTGGTACTACCCCGGTTCGAGCCGGCCCATCCGTGCGACAGCAAAAGCTGCCGCGTGGCTCTACCACTGTTAAAATTTACTTTCAATAAGTATTATTTCTAATTTATATTGAATAAAAAACTTTATGTTTCTTTTTCTGCATATGGCCGGCCCATTGCCGCTTCAATTCATTGGCTATGTCTGTTTTTCTGGTTCTAAAGCAAATATCCTCATTTCTAAATTTATTACACAGAGAAATTCCAAACATAGCCCTGTCCACACCTCGCTGAATGATCATATGTCTGTGAAGAACACGTCCCAGATCAATATCCAGCATGCACTTTTTGCGCACTCTAGTTTTCAAGTTTGAGGTACACATGACGAAAAGCCCGAGTTAAATCCGTCTTTTGGCGAGGATGGAATTACAGCATCTAATGGAAAACCGGTACTTAAAGTCCTTCAAAAGCTTTTTATTTACGTCCTTTATGGTGGTATTACACCGGAGGCGTGGAGAAGAAATGCAGTAGTCTTATTCTTCAAGAAAGGCGATAACGCTCTCTTGAAGAACTACAGACCGATTTCCCTTCTTAGATGCGTCTAGTTTCCGAAAGAGCTTTAGCACCATAGCCACTTACATAAACTTCGGCAAATTGTACAGAAGACAGAGGAGTAAAATTTGCCACTATGTCTTGAGCATGTGGACTATAATTCGACGACTGACCTCTCAGATCTCCTAGCATAGAATAGATAATAGTACAAGTACTCCTAGGTAAACAAACTCGTCAAAAACTTCAAGCGTAGTGTTCCCAACAATTACTGGCATGGTTGTCACGTGAGCGTTACACATGACCTTCGTCATGTCATTGAGCACGTTCTAAGTTCCCCTGTGATTCCACCATAACAACTGTGTGTGTTTATTTAAGGCATTTTTAAATATCAGCAATTCCATTAACGTTACTAATATTTTCTTTAACCAATCCTGATAGTTTAAAAATGCTTGTGTTAGGAGTGTTTCACGGCAGTAGTCGAATGGCGGATCTGAACCCACGACCTATTGACTTTGCGGTCCGTACCCTGCCATTAAGCTACCGTCGCTAAAAAATATCAGACTAGATCATAATATATCTAAAATAACAAAGCCACACGTACCTTGTGCAAGCCAACCAAACAAGCTACATTAATGACCAACCAGACGATGTTCATTAATAAAACTATCAATAATAAAATCTCGACATGAAGCAGCAGTGGTCTCTCAAGAGATTTAACCTCTATAGCTCTTTCAATTTCCGTGCGTGGTTGGTCGGTGTCGAAGTGGTCAAACCAATGAGTTGAAAATGCTATGTAAGCAGTAAGAGTAACGAGTGAAAGCGTGTGGATTAAGTTGATGATCTGAAAAAGAAAAACATTTATTATAGTAACTGGTGGTCGAAATTTGATGGTTCTTGTTAAAAAATAAAACTATATATTACGTAAGCTGTATCACATTATTATACCCAGAAATATATATGCAGAATATAAAATAAACACTTTTACATTAACCCCACAGACTATTGAAAAAGGAACATTTGAGATCACACATTTACAAGTTAGGTAACTTTCCGGGTTTGTTCAGGTCCTGTAATTTATATATTATATTGTGTTATAATCCTCTCCTGCGCCGATGGCTAGTCTCCGTTGAGACTGGCCGCCGTGACCGAAATGCGGTCTGGAGGACATTATTATTATTGTACTTGTTTACTTTCGAACTTGTCGCATGGGTATCGAGATAATATAAAATAAAGCAAATTTTCTAAATTATATTTGCATGCTATTGAAAACTGCTAAATAGTTCTTAAAATAAGAACTAAATATTTATTTTTATTTAATCGCAAATAAAGAACGTGAATTTGAATATTGAATTACGCGTTTATTTCGCTGGAATTGATTACTGCTAACAATTGTAATATCATAAACGTAAATTAATTCGTTACTCCGTGATCACAAACGTAGTTATTTCTATTAGTATTTATTTTAATAAATAGTTTCACGATTACGTCCATTGATGATATTGTAACGGAATAACTTTTCGCTAATCTCCAGTCGTGTAGACAGGCTCCATGAACAATGGTTAATTTTCTTCTTTTTCTTCTTCTCATGCTGATAGACCGCAGCTGGACGTCAAAACGGGACACAGACCCCTTCCATTGAAGGAATCTTCAAGTATCGTAATCGTTGAGGTAATCACTGTATGTCAACGATTTTGGTAATTTACATCTAACGTAAACTAGATTGTTTTTTTTAAATGCTTGACAAATCGACTCACAGCCCACCTGATGGTAATTGGGTAATGCAGTCCATTGACAAATGCAGCCAACTTCAAGCAAAGAAGCCTACAGTTGCATTGTCACCTTTAGCATAAGATGATATGTCGTCTCACAGATTTTTGTTGTACTGGCTCTTTAAACTTTTACAGAACCAAGGAAGTTGTACTAGCAAGGAAGCCATGAGACAATTCTCGTGTTTCCGTTAGTTGTTCCTTACGACCGGCTCTAAAGAAAGTAAGGTGATTAGTCTATATCTATCGTCGTCCAGACACACACATAATATTTACATAATGTTGTTATAGATTATTAGATAAGGTTAATACAAATCAAGCAAATGAGATATTTATAGAAGAAATATTAGTAAAATAATAGTGAATTTCCTTTATAATCTAGATCGATCGTGTACGGAATCCTAAAAGTATATTTTGTATCCTTGGCGAGAATTGTAAATAAGGCACTTAAGCTTTTATACTCTTGTTTTCACTTCATCCTTTATACAACAAGACTACGCTGAATTAAGTGATTAATGTTTTTAGATAGAATTTTTTTTCGGGCAAAGAATTTACGATACATTACCTAACTTAAAAAGTAAAGGTGGTAAGACCTAGTTTATATAGAATATTTACTGTGTGTGCCATATGGTACCGAAGGTTATAAAATTACATTATTTTATAAGACAGCTATCAGGAAATTACGAAGCATCTTCTTAAACAATTTAAAACAAAAAAATTTAATCTATGGGGAGGCTTGTGTTCTGCATTAGACTTTAAAGACTGGAATGTTTATTTTTCTATTTATTTTTTGGATTTTTATCGAAACGTCAGGGTAATGCCATCATACCTTTTGTTAGTTACTGCTAACAATATAGAATAAAATATGAAAGTATAATTATGAGTACTAATTATATTACTAAACTAAAAAGAAACTTTCACTTAAACTGAAGATGTGAAGATAATTGACGGCTCCGTGGTGCAGTGGCTTAGCAATGAGTTGTTGCGCTGGGGGCCGCGGGTTCGAATCACGCAAGGAACAAGTATTTGTATGGCCTACAAATGATTGTTCCGGGTCTGGATGTTTGTCCTCGTGCAATTTATGTTTGTAAACTGCCTCCACGATACATGAAAAAATCCTAGTGTGGGGGTAACTTTTTTTTTAAAGAAAAAAAATTATTCCGTCCTAGTAGCAAATCGGAATAACTCTCTCGATATCCTTGATTTGAGATTTGATATCAACATGAAAAACACTTGCGTTAAATTATTTCGGCACATCCTGTGTACCTTTTTCGTTGTTAATACACACCAATAACAATAACAAATGGTATAATACATCTTCAATTTTGTTGCAAACTTCACAATTCGGTTTTTTTTTTCCACCAAGAAAGCGAGCTTTCCTGATGGAACATTAACAAAACGAAGCCTGGGTTCACAATCATTAGGCTGAAATCTTGATTTTGATTATTGAATGGTCGTAAAGATTACATAAAGAAACTTAAAAGCAGACTTTTGAATGATATTTTCCAAGCTTTGTCGGGTATTATCATTATTTAATTATGAAACTTCATTCTGGACACATCCCATTCAATAGCATTTTACATAGTAACATCATTTTAGAAAATCTTTTATCGGACGAAGCTAAAATGCTTTATAAATTAGCTAATGCGTCAAGAAAACGATACTCTGTTATTGTTGGTGTACTCGTAAGATTCTTTGTATAAGCTTATGGATATAGCATGTTCATGACTTGTTCAAACAGAAAGAAATATCCTTTTTTTCTGAATAAAGACTTAAAAAATACTATTTAGCTTTGGACTGGACAAGCGTCGTATGGTCACTGAAATCACTTCTATGCTGTAGCAGTAGTAGTAACATAAATAAAACTGGCTAATAATATTGGTCTATACTAGTGAGCAATTTTATTATCGAACCTATTTTATTATTATACATAGAGCCGTGGTGGCTCAGATGGTTAGCACTCGCTGTTTCTGTTTCTGTAGTTTCACAGTACGCGGGCAAACCCAGGTTCGATACCCGCCGGCAACAATAAAATTGTTAATTGCAATTTTAAGTGCTGATTTACCACGTACTCTGCGGTGAAGGAAAAAATAGTGAAGAAACCTGCATGTCTGAGAAATAAAAAAAATATTTCGAAGACATGTGAAATTCACCAACAAGCATTGGGGCAGCGCGGCGGACATATCCTTGCAATAAAACCCTCTCAGAAATGGGATGAGGCCTGTGCTCAGCAGTGGAAAGTATATAGGCTGTAACTTAATGTACTATCGAAGCAACTAAATACTAAAGTAGTACTGCGATACCTAATTATTTTTTTCTCAGGAAAGCAAATAGGTTACCATCAAAAACGATCAACGGCAATCTTGTATTCACAAGCGTCACTGCGGTGTTCAAGGCTCAAGATACTAGCGTAATTTTTTTTTATAGGATAGGGTGACAAACGAGCACATAGTCCACGTGATGGTAAGTGGTTGCTGTGGCCCATAGACATCTACATCTATCCTCGTTTGCAAATCAAAATGCAGATGCGTTGTCACCCGTGAGGACTAAGATGAAATGCCTCTTTTCCACTAAAACGGGTCTCCGGTTCTCTACACTCACCATACAAAACACAGCAGTTTTAAGCTGCTATTTTACGCTGGTATTATGTGAGTGCGTGGTCCTTCCCCGGTCGAGTCGACCCATTCGTGCTACAACTATACCACTAATATAGCTGCAGCACGGCTCTACCCCGTATAGCAGTTAAAATAGCAGTTTATAGCTGCTGTGTTTCCAATGGCGAGTGTAGAGAGCTGGAGACGAGGCATCGAATCGTAGTCTTCAAGGGTGACAACGCACCCACATATTGATTCTTAATCTCATGTCTGTCGTCTATGGGCCACTGCACCCACTTATCATCGGATGAACTATGTGCTCCTTTGTCACTCGTATTCTAAAATACAAATCTGTGAGTTAGATATAAAAAACATACAAAAAGAGAAAGTCATACCAGATTCAGATAACCTAAAATGAAGCATCCGATTCTTAGAGGGATACAGCAGCAGCATTTTGTGAAAAGTGACTCCGACTGAGATGTTGTAGACATGCTGAAACAAATGAAAAATATTTGTTGATATTAAACCATCGTCGCCGTTTTTTGTGTAAACTTAACGTCACCTGAAATTTCTGAAATTTTAATGATCAACATAAATCCGTTTAAAATCTAATTTTACTCATAATTAATAATTTACTAAATACATCATACCTCAAGATGCACACACCACATACACATACACTACACAATCACACAACTAACACCTACGGATATTTTATTGTAAAAATACTATATAAGTCAAAAATCTATGTGCTACCCAAGTTCTAAATACTAATTTATATAAATGAAGTACGGGAAGAGCGGAGCCTCCTAACACAAGTTTCCTAACTTAAAAGGAGTGTTCCAATAATGTATTTAATTTTAAGTATTACTGGTCTGAAAATAAAGATGATTTGATGTTTTGAATCTATCATGAAATATTATTCGGATATATCAACTTAAGTTAACTAACTAACAATGTATAACCGTGACTTACCGAGATATAAAATAATAATAGTAATGTCCCCCAAATAACGGTCACGGTGACTAGTCGAGGTTGAGACCATTGAGACATCTGCGTTGAACGGGATTATAGCGTACGAGTGTATGCGCAAACACAGGTGCACTCTCTATTCCCATAAACTTCTAATCTGATGGGACGGTAATCTGACATGACCGGAGAGATCAGTATACTGCAATATAACCCGTGTCGTGGCGGTGTAAGAAAATCCACTATTCCATATTGTTTCGTTGGTGTCGTAAGAGGACTATACTAGAAATATTTTGTCCGTGCGGTTTGGGTCATAAATCATCGGAGTATTTCGCTCTCTCTCCCATTATAGGAGATGGGCTGCAGTGTCTTTCTAACAACTAAAAAAATAAAAAGCTGCGGTTGCCAACCCGCTTGCCAGGCGTGGCAACTATGGCATTATCCCCCTTATGAGACAAACTATGGAGATTCCTATGTTCAGCAGTGGATTTCGGCCATAATGTCATCGGCCATAACTATAATATATTTTTATTATTATCATAAATATATTTGGTTATATAAATACACAGTCGAATTAATAAACTCTTTCTTTTCAAAGTCGGTTAAACACAGGAGAAAGTACATGATATTATAAACGTCACACGGTGTTCTATTTATCATAAAATAAGACACAACAATATAAACGTCACGTAATTTTATTATGAAAATATGATAATTAACAATGAATTATTACGTAAGTGTAAGTTACGATTATTAATGTTACATGTTTTGCTTAAGCATCGCTTGTTATCTTTTACTTGACTGCGGCAAAACCTACATGAGGAGATAGTTTAATTCTGACTTGTATGTTTTCGTTATACGCCAGGCGAAATTTTAAAAATATAACATTATCTCAATTGATTTTTTTTTTACTTGGTAGAGCCATGCTGTAGCTAAATTGTGGTTGCAAGACGAACGGGTCGGCTCGACCGGGGTCCACGCTCTCACAGAATAAAAGCGTAAAATAGCAGCTGTGTTTCATATGAGTGTAGAGAACCGAAGACCCTTTTTACTGGAAACGAGGCATTCCATCTCAGTCCTCAGGGGTGGCAAAACAGGTGCATTTTGATTCTAAAATGAGGAAAATATAGATGCCTATAGGCCACAGCATCCACTTACCATTAGGTGGACTGTGTGCTCGTTTGTCAGCCTATTAAAATAAAACGTTTGACATGTGAGGCGTAATAGGTGACTAAAATGATAAAATTGTCCTTGCTTCCGATTTACGGCGGTATAAACACCATACCTTTACAGGGTTTCAAAAGTCCACAACAGAACATAGGCGTCCTACATATACTGCCTTATAGGGGGTTATTTGCCACAGTTGCCACCTTTACCACAATTTGTTATTTTTATTCAGTTGTTATCAGGAAGATGCTCCTGCTTATCTCCTAGACCAGTTTTCCTTTGTCGCCTATTTCGACACCCAGTGAGTAATATAGAGTAGTGGACATTTTTACATTGTTATTACTTGTTTTTTAGTGGCGAGCGCCAGACGTCAAATAGCGATACAGACTGGCAACTGCGTCAAAAATGCGAAACGTTTGGTGATTATGCCACTATCAAATCCTCTCTGCAACAGTAGGGGCACATATCCATTAGTGGACTTTTACAGGTTGATGAAAAGAAAAATCAGAAATAATGCTTCTTAAAAATAATACTCATTGCAGCCTATCACCACTGTTGAACATAAGCCTCTCCTTAGCTTGCCTCATAATCATTGGAGGCTTTTGCCGTAGTAAACACTTGGCACGCGGGTTTGCAAGCGGGTTGGCAACACCACTTTTTGCTATTTTGTGTTGTTATCAGAAGGATGTAGCTGCCCAGTTCCTGATCCTGTTTTAGTTTCCCTCTGTCGCCTGTTATGACATCGCGGACGGACGCGGACGCATATTTTTACACTGTCACAATACGTTTTAAAACATTTATCCTCATAAATAATGATGACAGAGAATTAGCTTATCTGAAGAGGATGTTCATCATCGAGAAAAGTAGGGGAAATGGATTAAAAGGTACCCTCGCTTAATCTACGATCAACACTTGGATAAAGAAATAACTGTAACGTAATAAGGCAAGAACGCAAACACGTAACTATATGTACTGACTTACGTGTAATCTTGTTATAACTTACATTGTTGTTAACGAATGTCTATTGAATGACAGCCTTGTCGGTCTAGAGGTTGTAGTAGTTACGACTGCTGATTATGAGGTCTCGTGTTTGAATCCCGGGTCAGGCCAAAAGTATCAGTCATTGATTTTTTCCGTCAAGCAATTCTCAGTAACTGCCCGGAGTCAGGAAGTTGGCGGTGTCTCACCCCCGTACCTCAGAAAGCACGTAAAGCCGTCTGTCCTGATCTCTCTCCGGTTCTATCGGTTTACCATCCCATCGGACTACGAGAGTGAGGGAATAGAGAGTGCACTTGTGCTTGCGCATACACTTGGGCACTATAATCCTGTACCTGCGCCGATGGCTAGTCCCCGTAAGGCTGGCTGCCGTGACCAAAATTCGGTCAGGAGGACATTATTATTATTGAATGAAAATAACTTTAGGAATTTTATCGCGTTTATTACTTATTTATTAAATTAAAAAAATATATTTTATTCACTTATTTTATCTACGATTTTTAAAATTTACTTTCACCCCTTAAACATAACTCATCTCTACCCATTTTTATTAGAACTTTTGTTCTAATTCTTACTGCTTTCGAGTAATTGCGAAAAAAACCCTTTTGACAATTTTTTCAACCGTTTTCGGAGGTTGCCGACACGAAAACCTTTACAAATTATTATTGTATCACTAAAACTACATTATATCAAAAATGACTAGACTAATATAAGCCAAATATATTACCCACCTTTTCGGCTTTACTGAAGTCGCTAAAAAGGATTTTATATTAAATGAAAGCATTAAAAATCATATTTCAACTATCTACACATTATTATCAAACTACCTACATAATAGTAATACGTAACGAACCGCCTTAACATTCCAAAGTACGGTCAAACATTCATTATCGTAGAAACAATGAGCTCTCAGTTTTAACTGCATTATCTATTCCACGAATGCCCGCATTCTATATTCAAAATAAAATTGGTTTCTCTTCTTAGAAAGAAGAATTCGTTGTGTTTATTGTAATCTGTGATGATAATCGTATAATAATATTAATAATAACTCAGTGAATATAGGAATATATACACTCACTAAATTATTATTATGTGGATCTATTATCATTATCATACCAGTATTATTGTTCCAGTAAAAGTTGCAAACAGCTTGCGTTTTGCAGAATGTTCCAAACAGCTGTTTTATGCGTGGTAGAGCCATGATGCAGCTATATTAGTAGTATAGTTGTAGCAGGAATGGGTCGACTTAACACTGCTGTGTTTCCTATGGTGAGTGTAGAGAACTGGAGACCCTTTTTACTGGAAACGAGGTACTCCATCTTAGTCCTCAGGGGTGTCGAGAATAAATTTACATAGATGCCTATGGGCCACAGCACCCACTTACCTTCAGGGAGACAATGTGCTTGTTTGTCACCCTTAAGGAAAGCTGAAACAGGAGATGGGCAGCAGTAACTTCCTGATGACAATTTAAAATAATAAAAACTCCGTTTGAAAGTTTGTGAACATCGGCAGCGATCACCGAATGGTTAGAGGCACACTGAACCTAAACGTTAAGTTGGAGAGGACTCGTCTAATGAAGTCAACGCTCCGTCCCCCTCGTGCTCCAAAGTCCCGAAACCTTTCAGCTCGAGTTACAAAACCGTTTTCAGTGTCTAGAAGACTGCAATGAAGTGGACGATATGAATGACAAGCTCGCGGAACCTGTCCATGCTGTCGGAGCAAAGTTCTGCAAGACCCGCCACAGAAGAACACAAAAACTCTCCGATCACACTCTCATCTCATGGTTGTTAGACCTGCTATGCGTGGCAACTATGGCAAAATCCTATGGCAATCTGTGAGAGAGGCATATGTTCAGTAGTGAACATTTATAGGCTGTAACGTATAATTTAAGTTATACTATTTATTCCGTTCTTCCGTAAATCAATCCATCACAACAACTAAGTTACAATTTTATAATACAAAGTTACATATTAGTTCTTTGGATTTATCTTTCAATATAGAAATTTGATTACATACTTAAGTTCTTAAGTTTTTTCTTTATAGGATAGGGTGACAAACAAGCACACAGTCCACCTGATGGTAAGTGGTTGCTGTGACCCATATACATCTACATTTATCCTCAATAAAGAATCAAGATTCAGATGTGTCGTCACCCGTGAGGACAAAGATGGAATGCCTCTTGTCCAGTAAAATGGGTCTCCGGTTCTCTAGACTCACCTTACGAAACACAGCAGTGTCAAGCTGCCATTTTACGCTGGTATTCTGTGAGAGCGGGGTCCTTCCCCGGTCGAGCCGACCCATTCGTGCTACAACTAAACTACTAATATAGCTACTGTATTTCTCTACCACGTAAAGTATAGTTATAATTTATTTATATAAAGTATAGGTATAGTTAGTAATATAAGTTATACGTAAATATGATCCTGCCGCATTCATGATCACGATCTTGGGCAAACACCCTTGTAATACTATTTATGATGATGATCATTATCGACCAGGTAAAGTACATGGGCCTCTGACGTTGTAGGGCGGAATTAATTGCAACACCTTGGAAGGCTGATTGGCTCTCGTCTCACTTTTAACGCTGATTCCGTCACCAGTCTAGATATTTTACGCTGGCCTAAGCGAGAATACTGCTACCTATTATTATAGAGATATCCACAGTGGATATGTAAGCTGAAGTGGCAATACGCCAGCTATACATCTCGATAGGAAAGAAAGGTTTTGTATCGGTAAGTCAAGAAATTGTAGGGCGGCCGCCCACTAGATAGGGTTATGATCTTGATCTTTTAAGAGGTGGCTTAGGACAGTGCTTTATGGAATACCTTGGGGACTGCTTATTTTCATCTGTGGACTTGTAATAGGCTGTAATGATGATGACGGTCATAATATTCTCGTTCCACTGTTCTGGAATATTCCATAGTTATGTCTTTCTCTCTTTACAAGAAGTAGAATCTGTTTACAGAATATAATGCCACATATGGAAACATATTTAACATTGAAATTCCTTCCATAAAAATCAATTCGTTATGTTTATAGTACAATAACATTCAATTAATTGTAATAGCAAATATAGCAAAGGTCAGAACTACGCGGCCTCCATAAATGGCAGCTTACCATGCAATATACGAGATCGATTAACTGTCCACCTACCAAGCGTTGAGACTATGATATATCCTTCATACAATTATAGTGGCCTTGGCCTTTTATATGCTGATAAAGAAAATGTAAAGAAATAAATTATATGTAGTTCATCAATGTTTTTTTCGACTTTGTCTGCCGACTTCCAAAAAGGATGGGTGAACCAATTTCGATGATTCTTTCTTGATTTGAAATCTGGTACATCTCGTGTGGTCCCATATGGTTTGATCAAGGTTATTCTTAGTAATTTATATTGAAGTCGGCTGTACAAAACTTTTAATTTTAAATTATTTTATACTTTGTAGAGAAGAGATAGAAGTGTGGTGGCGATGTAGGAGAATTCACATTTCCCACACCCAATTACTTTCCATGCGTGTCGTAAGAGGCGATAATGAAAAAGACTAAAAAATTCAAGACATCTGGCAGATGGTGTAATAACCACCCAGTTTCCGCTCCGCCGCGCAGTGGCTTATCAATGAGTTGTTGCGCTGGGGGCCGCGGGTTTGAATCCCGCACGGATCAAGTATTTGTATGGCCTAATAATAATTGTTCCGGGTCTGGATGTTTGTCCTCGTGCAATTTATGTTTGTAAACTGCCTCCACGACACAGGAGAAAATCCTAGTATGGAGGTAACGCTTTTTTTTAAAAAAAAGAAAAAAATAAAAGAAGAAATTTTACCACCTAGACTAGTGAAGGGGAGCTTCCTACACCTGATATTGCGATCGTCAACCCACCTGCTAAGCGACGGTATTTAGATAATTTTTTTCTTAAACGGAGGAGTCCCATTACCAGTAGTGGTATTTTATTGGCTGTTGATGATGATGGTGATAATTTAAAAGAAAATTAACCGATTATAATATAATTAAAAATTAAAAATTTTGTACAGCCGACTTCAATATAAATTATTAAGAATAACTCAATAACTTTTGGTCTGACCTTGATCAAAATCATATGGGACCACACAAGCAGTATCAGCTTTAAAATAAAGAAAGAATCGTCGAAAGCGGTTCACCCAGTAAAAAGTTATGAGGTAACATACATAAAAAAACATACAGTCGAATTGAGTACCGTCTCATTTTTGGAAGTCGGCAGAAAGGAAAGACTAAATGTTACACGAATTACTCACTTTATGATTTTCTTAACGATACTTTTGAAAAAAAAATTAGTACTGAGGGACAGACAGATTAACATACAATTGTAAAAATTATAGATTTCTCTTTAGTTACTTGTTTTTAGTCCTTTTCAATCATTTTTGTCACAAGAATATACAATGTACAAACACCTACAATTTACATTTTTATTATATGCATAAAAAAATAAGTAAACCATTTTATAACCATTGTGTAACACCTTTAGTTAACGTTATATTATTAAGTTAAAGAAAAATTCGAAAGACAATTTCTTAAAATTTAAAAGACAAATATTTAACCACAACATACCCTTCTATTTTTACACATGCCAGCATTTAAAGTGCATTGCAATAACGCACGCTTGCGCAGTTAAAATCCAAAACAAATTACGACTTGCGTATCTCAAGTTACGAATTACGAAAGTTAAATACAAAAGTGTCAAAACTTACTTGTCATAAGGTACAGAAGCAGCCATCGTGGGCGAATTGACCTCCGAATAGATTTTGACTAATAAAGACAATCAAATAATAAGGTAATTTTAAGAGCGACGCGTGCGCAGCGAATGTATAGCGACTGAACTGTGTTATTGTGCATTGATCGAATGTAGTACAGAGCAATAAACTCGAGCGAACGGTGATGACGTATACGAAAAGGCGTTATTCCGGTCAATGCATTCTATCCACGATACAAAGCCAGCGATTTTATACGATTTTTCTCTACTTATTTAGTTTTAAAAACTAATACTTAAATGATGTGAATATTTTAAAGATGTTTGCAAACTTTTTATTATCAGTAAACATTATTAAAAATTGATAGATCAGTGGCGTGGCTTAGCATTGAGTTGCAGTGTTGAGGGCTGGGGGTTCGATACCCGTACGGAACAAGTATTAGTATGGCCTACGAATAAATAATTGTTTCGGGTCTAGATGTTTGTCCTAGTGCAATTTATGTATGTAACCTACCTCTAAAATACTGGAGGAAATCCTAATGTGTTCTTTTAATAATATTTATTTTAAACCATAAAACATATTTGATAAAAACTGATGACAAAAGACAAAGATCCTGTTTCAATTTGGATCTTTATGATTGCAGACTATATTTAGTACTCATAACAATTTCAATCAATTAACAACCTAGCTGTGAATGTATTCAGAAGTCTTTATTCAATTTGACTTTACGAGTTACATAATTCACCTCTCCCTAAAAAAAAATAGTTAATTATTTTTTAACCAACCTAATTTTATAGCTTATTAAATAAGCTCAAAACTTAATATCATCCCATCAAAAGATTTTTAAAGAGGTAGAACTAGCGAATAAAAAGCGAACTATCTAGGCCACGTTACGTAGTAATCAAGTCAGTCGAAGTACTCTCACAGAATACTAGCGTCAAATAGCAGCTTAGCACTGCTGTGTTTCGTATGGTGAGTGTAGAGAACCGGAGACCCTTTTTACTAGAAAAGAGGCATTCCATCTTAGTCCTCACGGGTGGCAATGCATCTGTATTTTGATTCGCAAGCGAGGATAAATGTAGATGTCTATGGGCCGCAGCAGCCACTTGCCATCGGGTGGACTGTGTGTTCGTTTGTCACCCTATCCTATAAAAAAAATCCCCGTGCCGTACACACACTCATAAACAACTGTAATTTATACCATTCTATAGTATAATCTTATTAATACAAGATTGTTTGAAATGAGGGAAGTCCTGTGCCTAGCAGTGGGACGTAACTTTAACTTTTAACTTTAATACAAAATTTACTCAGAGCACAATAATTACTGAGAAACGTGCCACTGTTGGCCAGGAAAGACTCACGGCCAATAATTATTTTGCCTCTCTATACCTTTCAGGCCGGAACACATCAATACAAGCACTGCTAATTAACAGCATAGATAGGTAAGACGGTGATACCTATCCTTTTTCTGCCGACTTCCAAAAAGGAGACGGTACTCAATTCGACTGTATTTTTTTTATGTGTTACCTCATAACTTTGTACAGGGTGAACCGATTTCGATGATTCTTTTTTTATATGAAAGCTGATACTTCACGTGTGGTCCCAAATAAATTGATCAAGGTCAGACTAATAGTTTTTGAGTTTTCTTAAATAACTGATATTGAAGTAGGCTGTACAACATTTTTAATTTTAAATTATTCAGACGTATATACAGGCAGAAAAGGTGTCCTACCGCTACCATCTAGTAAAACCAAACTAGATATATACTAGACTATCAATAGTGTAGACTTCTATTATCATCCAATTTGCTCTTTTAATATATAATGTAGTATAAAACTCTACAGTAGTTTTATATATTTACATTATATTTAAAAATCCAATCGGGTCTTGGTGGACTTCACATGTCTTCAAATTGTATTTTTTTTAATTTCTATAATAATATATATTTATTTTTTTATACTTTCTTGTCAGTTTCCTATAATGTTTTCTTCACCGCCGATCTAGTGGTATATCAGCACTTACAATTTCAATTAGCAATGTCATTTGCGCCGGCAGGGATTGAACCCAGGTTGTTACGAGTAGTTACTGTAATAATTACAGTGAGCACTTATCCCCTGACCACGGATCCCGTTTCAATTATTTTTTATTCAGTAAGGTAATATTTAATTTATTGGATAATTTTTTCTGAATATTAATAAATCTGCCATACGTAACTAAAGAAACGTATGTGATAAGCTGTTTAGTTTATGATCATACACTTATTATGATCACACCAGCGTTGTTCCTGACAAATTTAGAGTTGCCGTATTCTAATTCTAAAATTGCCGGATTTTTAGGGAAAACTAAGAAAAATGCCGTATTGTACAAAATATTTATTTAGAAGGTTAAAATTAAAAAAAAAACATGAAATGTTTGTTGTTTAAACGTTTCATCACTTTCCCACTGCTTTCTGTACTTTTGTTTTATGTATTTACTTTTTACCTTTTTTTTCGGCGTAGGTGGTCCGTCGTCATTGTCACACTCAGTATTACTCATTTTCAATTGAAACTTTAAAAAATATTCGTAAAATAGCTTTAACTAATAGTTCGTACATAAAGCAAAACAAAGCATTAAATGACAGAACCACAATAGGTCCAGCACAGTAATAATTATTCTGGGGATTCCCCACATAACCTAGAACCTACCCGAGTAAAGGTGAAGAACTTACTGGAATGAGGAACTAAAGATTTTAGATATTAACTTCTTAACGATAAGGTTGAATTTAGTTGAATACTCTTAACGTTTGACATTTCTACTTTATCTGTGGTAAAAGTACCCTGTGATCTATGGTTCACAAGTTGGTGTGTTTCGTTATACGAAATATTTTTTTTTTGATTACTTTAGTCAAATACCGTATATTTTAATACGGTAATTAAATAGCTGCCGTATACCGTATTTTTGATGCCTAAGATACCTGAATGCCGTATATTACGGCAATTGCCGTATCAAGAACAACGCTGGATCACACTATATCGAGAAGAAGAACCTAATACGTAGTAGAACCAAGCTATATTAGTAGTATAGTTGTAGCATGAATGGTCGCCTCAATCGGGGAAGGACCACGCTCTCACAGAATACCAGCGTAAAATAGCATCTTAACTCTGCGTTGTTTCGTATGTTGAGTGTAGAGAACCGGAGACCCCTTTTACTGGAAACGAGGAATTCCTTCTTATTCCTCACGGGTGATAATGCATCTGCATTTTGATTCGTAGTCAAAGTTTAGATGTAGATATCTTTGGGCCACAGGAACTACTTACCATCAAATGGACAGTGTGCTCGTTTATCACCCTTATCCTATGAAAAAAGCGAGTCGTATTAATGGAGATACATAATACACATCATCATTATCATCATCATTACATTCCTTTACAAGTCTATAGCTAAATGTACGTCAAAGAATGCGATAAGACACGATTCTAAGCCACCTGCATGTATCGACTTACTGCATCTCTTATCAATTCGTCATTAGGTACATCTTGTTGCCACATTAATTACGTAATGTATTAATGTGGCAACCAGCAGGACGAATTATAACTTACGTTTCTATGAAATCTATGAACAATATGTAAAAAAATTATTTGTTGGTTTGAAAAAAATTTCTAGTTTTAACCACGTAATTAGAACTGGTAACCGTACCTACTCCTGGTCCCCAAGATACAGGCTATGCCTTGTTTGGGGTCCGCCAGTAAATTTTTTATATGTAATTAGAATCAAAAATAATTTAATATAAGTTACCGTTTCTTGTGTTTAGCTCTGTGTCTAACTCTTTTTTTTAGGAATAAATTTAGAGATTCAAATAAAGAATGATTTTTATTTTGTTACTTGTATTATGTTACTTCCTTTTCTGGGAAATCACTAGTTAATACCAAGCTCATATTTAGTTATACATATATATATGTATATATATATATATATCACCATATAGTGGCGGTGTAAGAATATCCACTATCCCTTTTCATCCCGTGAGTGTCGTAAGAGGTGACAGAGGGAAATAAATCAGGAGTTGGGCAGCAGCGTCTCCCTAATAACGACTAAAAATAAATATCTGCGGTTGGCAAACCGCTTGCCAGCGTGGCAACTGTGGCAATATGCGGGGGAATAATATTCACCAGTGGATTTTAATAGGCTGTAACAATATCGGTATGCATTAGGTGACATATCTCCTTTGCCAATTCCAAAAGGCAGTAAGCGCAGTCTTACCAATTTATTCTGCCAAACAGCTGTTTTATGCGTGGTAGAGACATGAGAGAGATAGTTACAGTCTTAGATTATGCATAAGTTTATGTGTACCCTAAAGTAACAGTCATCATCATCGTTTTTAAAAACGATACTCCTACACTAGGATTTTCTCCTTTATCGTGGAGGCAGTTTACATACATAAATTGCTCAAAGAACCGAAAAAAATATTTTAAGGCCATAAAAATACTTGTTTGACTTCAGCGCCCCAACTCATTCCCAAGGCACTGTGGCATAAAACCGTTATTAGATCCTATCGGAGTCCATTGATTAATTAGGTCACCCTCAGAGATTGTCCCATTAAGGGCATATTTTCCTTACTTTCAAGTCTTAGCAGCCGCATTTGTAACTGAAGTATTTTTTTGATATTGTGCAATTATCAAGAAGAAGTCCACCTCCTGTTCCAGTTTCCAGATGATATTATGGCCTAGTGGATTCTCTTAGGTCAGCACTACACGGATAGTTACAGGTTGTGAAGCAATTTTTTTAATTTCTTTTTTTTTAAATGTTACCCCCACACTAGGATTTTCTCCTGTCTCGAGGATTCGAACCCCCCCCCCCCCCCCCCCGCGTAACAACTCATTGCTAAACTACTGCACCTCGGAGCCGTTCTTTAGTTTCAAGCAGAACAAAGCATTTGAATTTTCTTTGAAGTTGGTTGCATGTATGATGTAGGATCCACATACTGTTGGATGTCAGTATATTTTAATAAAAATATTATCTTTGTTTCTGTAAGTCTAAAAGAATAGAGCTAGATAAAATAAGTAACGTCCCAAAATAAGTATTTGCTCAAGTAAAGCACACTAATATAAAAGTCATTAAGTTTACACTTTTCATATATTTGTATATATATTTTTG